TTGAGCACAGGCTGTAATCATGCCCTTCCCTTAGAAGGTGGGCACTGGGGGTCATCTCTCTCTCTTCTCCTCCACTGCTTCTTTGCACAAAACCTGTAGGAGGTTCCTGCCTTTGGGGCAGTGGGAAGAAAAAGCTGGAAACCAGCAGGAAGCTCAGGACAGAGGAACCCTCCGCTGGGATGGTTTAACTGGATCCTGGGGGGTCCTGGGCAGGGCGTGGGGAGTGGGCTGGGTGAGAGGTGCTGGCGGGGAGGAAAGCTGGATGATGAGGCCAGCCTGGGTGCCAAGTTCCCCAGGACTGGGAATGAATACTGTCCTGAATTGGAGGTGGTTTGGGCATCACGGGGCTCTCCCTGGGGAACACCACTTTGCTCCAGCCATCACCAACACTTCAGCCTTGCCCGGCAGACCATCCCCACTGCCAAAATCGGGCAGGCTGAGAGCAGGGCTTGGGAGCATGACCAGCCCTTCCTGCCCCATTTGTTGGCATCTCCTGCCCCACGGTGCCTGCGATGGGTCAGGCAGCACAAGCCCAGGGCTCTGCTTGCAGCACTGCTCCCCAGCAATGGTTACAGAAAACGTGGGGTGCATGGGCACACCTCTCCCTCAGGGACTGGGGTGGCCTGAGGGACACCCCCCCACTGCCACTGGTGTCACTGGGTCACTTCATGGTAGCGCTCTGGCTGAAAACTTTCTCTCGAGGGGTTTGAATTTCAGGCAGGTCACCCTGCAAAGCAGCCTGTGCTCAGCTTAGGGGAACCAGCAGGCAGGATGCCCTCAGCCCTCAGCCCACTTGCTTCGTCTGACCTTATCTTGTCATCTCCAAGCAGCGGGTGCCAGAGGCAGGGCCATGACAGGGAGGTCTGAGACAAGCCACTGCTTGTGCACGGCTCCCATTTTAGAGCAGCCCTAATACACAGAGTTTGCCTCCCAGCATCTGATCCCTGAGCAATGCACAGGGAATGGCACAAGGGACAACAGGGAGCATCCCCCCAACAGCCCCAAGCAGGGTGGGGGTGCCAGGATCAGAGCCCACTGGCTGCACTTGCACCCCCACATCCCCTGCACCCACTCCCTGGGACATCCCACCCCATGCTGGTGAGCCCACAGGGTTGTGTGGGGCCACGGGGCTGCCAGACCAAAGGCCACAGTGCTTGGCAGAAGGTTTGGATGCCACCTCCCCTCCGACCTAAGAACCAGGCTCTTACCCCCCAGGAAAAGGTTATTTTCACGCTGCCCCCCCACAGGAACCAACATAAATAGCTCAAATGGCTGCAGCGCCCAGGGGACAGGCCCTTTTGGAGCTGAGCTGCACGCAGGGTGGGGAAAGCCCAGGGGACTATTTAATAACTAGCAAGAGGAGCTATTGAAGTGTTTTACTGCCTCGTTAAGACAGTCTAATCTCTGTGCATATCTTAAAAAAAAAAAACAAACATTGGCTTGCTGGTGTTTTTATTGTAGCAGAGGTGGGTTTTTCTGGCATGGCTGGGATCTTGCCTGCTTTATCTGCTCATGTGCTTACCTGATACCAGGGCTGAACAGCCCAAGAGCAGCCCAAGGGCAGCAGCAGGCAGGACCAGGCAAACCGCTCCTCCCCGGGCAGCGGCAAGGAGAGAGGCTGCAGATCTGCACTGCGGGCTGTTTCCCACCCATGGGTGCTCTGCACCCACCTTTCAGCAAGACAGAGACTCCCGGTGTGTTTCCCCAGGGTGGGATTGGGACACGTTGGCTCTGCATGTGCCTGGGCAAAGCCCGGAGATGGGTGACCCCTCGTCCAGGCAGCCCACAGACAGGGCAGGAAAACTGTGAGGTCTCATCCACCCCTCCAGCTCCAAGGACTGGGATTTGTGGGATGCCCACATTTCAGGGCTATGGGCAATTTAGGCTCCTGTAAAGCTAGGCTGAGGAGTCCATGCCCAGGGGAGACCTAGCAAAGGCTCATCTGGGGCGATACAGAGCTGTCCAACTGCTGGGCTCTAGGTCTGGAAGAGGAATGGGCTGGGAATTTTGTTTCTAAGGTTTTCTTCATTTTATTTTTCACCTCAGACCAGCAGAAAATGGGGAAATCCTGCAGAGTCCTGCTGGCTCCAGCATCCACCTCTCCAACTGCGAAAGCTTACGGTTTCAAAGGCAGGAGCCGGGACGGATACTGAGGCCAGGATGGCAGAGCAGGATAAGCCACTTGCGTTTGCTTTGGAAAGGCTGATGTTTGCATGAGCACGGGCTCCAGTGGTTTTAAAGGGACCCACCCAGGAGCAAATCCCAACAGCCTGAAATCAGAGCTGTGGCTGCTCCCACCCTGGGCTGGGCTGGAGAATTCTCTGTCCTACACCCAGACCCCCCTGTACATCCCAGGTGGAGGAGGTCACAGGAGCCAAGGCTGCAGCTGCAGAACAAGGGAAGCAAACAGAGACCCCGGCACAGCTAACGGGGCTGGCAAACACCTAGAAAGATCTTCTTGGGCAATTTGGGGCAGGAAGGGTAAAGCTGCTGTTTGTAGCTGGAGATATAGTTCATCCGAGCTCAATACACCCCATCTCCTGGAGATCCAGTCTCACCAGCATCCTCGCTCCCGGCAGATGTGCTCTGGTACCCAGCTGCTTCAGGAAGTGTGACTTTGATGTGTCACCACCCTGATGTGAGAAAGGACAGATCCCCAGACACATGGTCTGTGCCTGTTTCAGGACTGGGGCTAAACCTGCCCTGCCTGCAGATCTGCCAGCAGCATTTCAGACCGGAGTCTCTCTCCCCTTCCCCCCAGCATCCTCGCTCCCGGCAGATGTGCTCTGGTACCCAGCTGCTTCAGGAAGTGTGACTTTGATGTGTCACCACCCTGATGTGAGAAAGGACAGATCCCCAGACACATGGTCTGTGCCTGTTTCAGGACTGGGGCTAAACCTGCCCTGCCTGCAGATCTGCCAGCAGCATTTCAGACCGGAGTCTCTCTCCCCTTCCCCTAGAAACCCCTGTAAGCTCAGCAAAGCACCAACAGCGTGGCCTGGGAGAAACACTACCATTTATTGAGCCAGATATTTTTTGTTGAGAATGTTTTTAACAGCACTGGAGGATTTACCCTGTCTCCCCCAGGGACCCTCAGCTGATTCATCGCATGCAGGGCTAGAAGGAAAGCGGGGCACAGCCAGCCTTGGGGGACACGGTGGCTCAGCAGCAGAGCTACCCAGGGAGCCACAAGCTGCTCGCAGGCAACAGCAAGCCAAGCACAGCTGCTCCAGGGCAGGCAGATGGGATGTTCACGCAGAGCAGCCCAGTGCCAGTTTGCTTGGATTCCCCCAAGTCCTCGGCAGGTGCCATCTCTGGGAATTTCGGATGTTGTCCTGATCCCCACGTCCATCCAGGGGAGCCCTTAGGATCTGCAGGGGAAGGGAGGGTGCTTGGGGGCCTCGGCACGGAGAGTAGCTTCCACTGAAGGTGCTGCTTCAGACACAAAGCTGAACCTGTTGTGCACCCAACCACCTTCCTAACCACGGCCAGCTCACATCTCACATCTCGAGTCACAGCCAGGTCTTCCCTCTCTCTTGGCTTCCCATTAACATCAGGAGATGTTGCCTCTACTCCCACCACCCCAGTAAGGAAAGAGCCAGGCTGTGACCCACGCAGGCAGGGGAACGACAGCACTGTGGTGAGAGCAAAGCTGTCACAGCACTACATTGGGGACAGACGCACCCATGGGTTTTGAAGCCAGGACCCTCCAGGCTTGTCCACGCATGTGGAAGAGCCCCTCTCCTTGAAGCAGGGGGCTGTGGGATGCTCAGGTCCTTCCCTGCCTTGTCTGGTGAAGGCAGCAGGTCCTGCCCAAGCTCTCACACAGCTCCAGCTGCAAGCCATGCTCTACAAGCCAGCGAGGGGTGTGCTGCGAGGCGCGGTGGGTGGACAGTAAAAGGCACAGGCAGAAGCCAAGGCTAAGAGGACAGAGAAGATGTCTCCAGGGCAGGGTTGCTGCAAATTCACCCTGGCAGAGGAGCCTCATGTTTCTGGTTGCTGGTAGGGGGCAGAGACCTGGTGCTATTCATCACACCGATGGAGAATCCTGGCCATCACCTCCATCACACCGTGTCAGGGGAAAGCACAAGCCTTTCCGAGTCTGAGCACCGCAGGCTCTGCCAGGTTGCCCGCATGGTGCCACATCCTGGGGCTTCTGCAGGACCTGGTCCCAAGGTGGAAGACAGTCCAGAAACAAACTGGGAGAACTGGATCTCCATCTCCCACCCAGTGCTTTGCCCCTTTCCTGTAATCACATCAGGAAGGGAAGTCTGCACTGTTATCCTTCCTCTGCAGGGCACAGACGAAGGCTCCCCAGCACAACGGGAGCAGCTACAGTGACTGCCCTGATCACACTTTAGATCAGCTTCACAGAGGCATTTAAACCAGAAAGGGCTTCACCTGTAGGGTTTTAGCATCCACCACGTGCTGCAGTCAAACCCCAGGTCAGCTCTAACCTGGATGGCCTTGAAGACGATGATGGAATTGAGCACATCCAACAGGGAGGCCCTGCTGAGGGTCCTGCCCCGCACGTTGCACTGAGCATGCTGGTGCCACCAAGCTGTGGATGCGTGGGAGCATCCTCTCTGGGTACCCAGTTTGGGGAAAGGGTCCCCAGTTTGCAGACAGGAGGCTGAGGATTAGAGGGGAGGGGTCCCAGGGGTCCCACTGTCCCAGGTTTCCCCCAAAACCCTTCCCCGATACCACCATCAAGGACAACAGAGGAGTGACCAGCCACCTGCAAGCACCATCCCAGAGCAAAGGATTAAATTTACAGGGACCCACCTCATCCCTCCTTTCCCAGAAAATTTGCCTCAGGGCAGGCACCCCATCCCTTACGGCTGCATCACCAAACACTGACAGGGGGGTCAGAGGAACAGTGTAACACCACCAAGTCAGCCTGTCCCCCCCTCTCCAGCCACCCCAGTTCTCCCAAGCAGAGACAAGTGAAGCAGAGCAGGCAGTTGGGACAGCTGGGACTGGGCAGGCGAAGCCACAGGCTACAAGAATGTCACATCGTCCTGAGACTGGAGCCAGCGCCAGTGGGCATCGTACTCCAGGTGCAGTTTGCTGTTGAGTTTGCAGTTCTCGAAGTCAGCCTCAGCTTTTCGAGCCTTCCCACCCAGGTTCCCCTTCCCCAGTCTCTCCCTGGCCCCCGATGGCAATTTGGTGTCTCTGCCTGGTTCCAGAGAGGAGGGCTGCTGGCCCAAATACCCGTTGGCCACCTGGGGCTCCTGGGGCAGCCTGGGTGGGGAGAGGTCCACGTGGGGCCACTCGTGCTCCGCTTTGCCCTTCTCTTGTTTCGCAAGACCCCTCTCAGGGTCGATCCTGACCCAATCCTGCTCCGCCCTGACCAGGGCTCTGCCCGGTACTGATGCAGCGGCTGTTTCGGCTGCGTTTTGGGAATACTCGTCCATGTCATCAGCCAACGTGTCCAGGTAGCTACCGACGGAGATGCTGTCCAGCCTGTCGTTGGGGTCCTGCAGGCTGTCCCAGCTGCCCCGCCGCGAAGCTGCCTGGCTCTCCACCAGGCTGTACTGGCTAAACGCCCGGCGGGCGCCAACCGGGGGCGGGGCGGCCT